TTCATTGATAATTGGGAAAGGCTACATAAAGACAGAGAGCATAATTGGATTAGCGAGGATGCCCAAGAAAAGCATGTAAGTCAATAATGATTTATATTAGTATTGCACCCAAATTGATAGAAATGGTGAATCCTCTTACATATTTAGAAAACACTACATAATACTGCTTTTCAAAATGGGTGTTTGTTGATTAGTTCTTTTTACACACAGTTACTAATGGCATCTCATATGTCATATGCAAGTTTAATTTGTTGGTTTGTCTATAGGAAAAAATGAAACAAATGTGAGATGAACTGAGGGCCAAGATAATTGAGGAGCTGATGAAGATATTGAGGCTGATTCAATAGGAATTCCAATTGAGGCTGAGTTCAAGATCATGGGTGATGTACTTGGAGTGAAAGGTAGGACAGTTTGTGGTCTTGGTGCTTTTCCTCAAATAGAAGCCAATATCTCAACTACTATTTTTTCTGGAGCTTCTAATTCTAAGCTTAGCAAGTTACAAGATACAGTACAGATGCTTGCCACAAATATGCAAAGTGTGCAGGAAGATTATTCAAATTTGAGGGCAAATTTGGTGGCAGCTCTGGAGACATCCAACAATGATGGGCTGGATAATGCACAGTTGATGTCAATGTTGCATGCAGCTTTGATGCCGTCGGCAACAACCTAGGATGAGATTTACATGTTTACATTATGCTATTTTGGATACTAAGCGTGTTTAGAACCTTGGACATACTATTAAGCAAATACTTAACTTGCATATGATATTTTGGATATTATTCATCTATGATATGAAGCTTTTTTATTCTTGATGCAGATTATTATATTTATTAGGATCATTGTCATGAAATCATTCACACGTATTATCAATTCTGATTTTTTTTTTGGCATAACAAATTATACAATATGACGATTTGTTATATGTCATATTTTAAATAAAGTGACAATTTATAAAGCTTCACAAATTGAACGTTGTGACAACTTGTTTATCGTCATATTAGATACGATGTGACCACCTGCCAGTCATCAAAAAATGAATTAGGTGACCTATTGTTACATGTCACAAAAGAAACAATGTTACAAAACATGAGAAGTCACATATTGTAAACAGTGACAAATTCATAGTTCATCACATTGTAATATATGTGACACTGAGTTATAGTCGTCACATTTGACATCGGGTGAGGGGCCTAATGTGACGACCCTTGTGACGCCAGAATATGGTCACTTTAACGTAATCGCGAGGAAATTTTGCCTAATGTGAGGAAATATTTTCGTCACATTAGCCTTTTTTTCTTGTAGTGCTTCAAGCACTTTTACACTCATCAATGCCTTGCACGTATATATTTTCTCCTTTTTATTCAATGTACACATTGCTGGAGGCAAAAAAGTTCTCTTCTCGCCAACTTGTGGTGCCAAACTAGTTCTTATCCCTAATTTAACGAGATCTTTACGAGTTGCCACCCCATCTTTTGTTTTCCCGGGAATGTTCAACAATGTACCGAAAATACTCTCGCATACATTCTTCTCGATGTGCATAACATTGAGGCAATGTCGAACATACAACGATTTCCAATAAGGAAGGTCAAAGAAAATTGATCTCTTCTTATAACACTTAGTACAACCATCATCTTTTCGCTTCCCAATTCCCTTCCCCCACTCATAGTTTATGGCCTCAACTTCTTTCCATACTTGTTCCCCGGTTAAAGGTTTTGGTGCTGAGTCAAGTTCTTCCTTACCATTAAAATCTTCACTTAATTTTCTATAAGGATGATAACGAGATAAGAATCTTCGGTGTCCGGTGAATGCCATTTTATTTCCATGTTCCAACCTTTCTGCATATGTCTTCTCACCGCAAATTGGACATGCATAATATCCTTTCGTAGTGCACCCGAAAAGATTACCATAAGCTGGAAAATCATTGATTGTCCACAAAAGTACAGCTCTTAAGGTGAAGGACTGTTGTCGGAAAACATCATAGACTCCCTCCACTCCATCCCACAATGTTCTTAAATCCTCAATCAATAGTTCCAAGTACACATCTATATCATTTCCATGTTGTTTATGGCCAGAAATCAATAATGTTAAAATCATAAACTTCCTCTTCATGCACAGCTCCGGAGGAAGGTTATATATGACCAAAATTACTGGCCAACAACTATATCTACTACTAAGAGAACTGTGTGGGTTTATCCCATCCGATGAAAGGGCTAACCTAAGGTTTCTATGCTCACTTGCAAAATCTAGCCACATATGATCAACCATCTTCCACGATGGTGAATCAGTTGGATGACACAATCGACCATCTTTTATTCGACTTTCATCATGCCAAGTTAAACTTTTAGAAGTTTCAAATGACTTAAACATTCTTTTGAACCTTGGGATAGGAGGAAAGTACCATAAAACCAACATCGGGACCCCTTTCTTCTTTGTCACCTTCCATCGTGAGAGGCCATATTTAGGGCAAGTTGTCAAATCATGATACTTATTCCTATATAAAATGCAATCACTGTAGCATGCATGTATTTTCTCATACTTCAATCCTAAGGCATTCAATGTCTTCTTTGCCTCATACATACATAAGGGTAGCTCTTGACCAATTGGAAGCAAATCTCCAACTTCAATAAGCATATCAGAGAAACAATTGTTGGTCATGCCATGCCTTGCTTTAAGATTGTACAACGTAACCAATCCCGACAACTTGGTGTGCTTATGACACCTAGGATAAAGAGGTTTTTCTGATACTTCCACAAACTTCCTAAATTCGTCCGGGTTTTCAGTAAAGTGTTCATGTGCACCTTCGCACATATCAATTGTCTCATCCACTACGTCACGTTCAAGATATGGTTCTTGATTTACACTTTCACTTCCATTTGATTCAATAGGTTGCCCATGCCATATCCAATCCTTATAGGTTTGGTCAACCCCATTGAAATACAAATGCTCCGTTATTACTCTAATAGTAACTTTCTTCTATTCCCACATATCTAGCATGGACAATGAATGCGCCTATGATCAATAGCATTTGCTAATGCTATCCTTAGAAATTCTTTAACCCCATCTTCATACTCTTTGCTTCTTCTATCTTCATGCATCCAAGATTTATCCATATCCCTTTAACCAGTCGATTTCATAAACACAAAAAATATTATAAACAACTTGAGTTCACATTTCAAATAATAAGGGAAGCTGCCTATTAGATGAGAGCATCTCAAGTTGCTCGAGATAAGAGTAGCAAGGTATACTCGGTCATTTCTTTAATATTGCAAATAAAAAACAAATATGGCCAAACAATGTAATATAAATTGAACCCCAACTAAATGAGCGTTTTAATGATGCATATCCAATTTATCCTATAGCCATTTAGAGTACTTCACAATAACAACAACAACAAAAATAAAAAATAAAAAAACTAAAAGAAAAACCCCAAATTTAAGCATGGCATGAAAAAGTGCAAGAACTTGTAAATTTTGATTAAATACAAGTAGGGGTGGTTGCAGTTACCATACCGCAAATTTTCAGAGAAACCGCAAACCGACCGTGATTTTGCGGTATTGACATATTTGATACCGCATCCGTCCGAGAAAATGCAGTTAACCGCAATGCGGTTGACGGAGAAATGCGGTCGGTGTCGGCAAAACCGCAAAAACCAAACGGGGGTAGGGAGAGAGCTATGTTGTTGGTGAGCTTCCCGAGCCGCAGAAGAAGGCTCTTGAGGAGCTCAAGCAACTCATCCAGGATGCCCTCAACAAGCACGAGTTCACTGCTCCGCCCACTCCGCTGCCAGCCAAGGAGGAAGAGAAGCCTGCACCGCTTGAGAAGAAGAAGGCCGAAGAAGAACCCAAAGCTGAAGTTGCTGTTGTTGAAGAACCAAAAGCAGCAGAAGAAGCCAAAGAAGAAGAGAAGCCCAAAGAAGAAGAAGACAAGCCCAAAGTGGAAGAAGATAAGCCAACCGAGACTGTGGCTGTGGTTGTGACAGAGGAGGTGGTGGAGACTGTTGACAATGACGGCACAAAGACCGTAGAGGCCATCAAAGAGACCATAGTGGAAGTTGCCTCTGCTTCTGCAGCAGAGGAGGCTGCAGTCGAGCCTAAACCAGAATCCGAGGTAATATATATATTAATTAGGTGCCACAGCCACACAACAATCAACATGGTGGTGGTGACGACCCCATAATTAAATAAGTAGAGTAAAAGAAAACAAAAAAGAGGAAGTGGAATTTGCTGTGAAGACTGCATCGAATATTGGGCTCTAGGGATTCCCTCTACACTTATCTACAGCGGAGGCTTGTATATATATCCTATTATGTTTTCCACTTCCCAAGCTCTTTCACGTTTCCCTGCCTCCCTCTCCCACTTCCCAAGGATTTTTTCCTTTTTTTCTAACAGAACTTCCCAAGTTGCCTCCCTCTCCCACTTCCCACAGTTCTTTTTTCAATTTTTTTTTTTTTATAGAACAAACATAAGGCTACAGACAATAAAATGCAATAGTATACTTAAGTATTTATAGAGTATAGTCGTGCGGCTATACTTTGCGGTTTGCGGTAACCGCAAATTTTGAAAATCGAATACTGCAACCGCAACCGCAAATGCGGTTGGTTCTTAATACCGCAAATGCGGTTCGGTTTACCGCAATCTCGATTTTATTGCGGTAAATTATCGGTTAGTTTTTGCGGTTTTTCAGTTTTTCGATTTTTCGGTTTAAAATGCCACCCCTAAATACAAGTGTACTTACAGCAGTCAGAAGATCAGCAGTTGCAAAAACAAATCTGATCCCTCTTTGACAACCCTGCAAATTAAGGCTAATACTAATTAACATATATGTAAAGTAAAGAGGTTAAGGAGCACCATAATCTTGTTGTGTTTCCTTTTTTTTGTGTTTGATCATTTATCATCAATATATTTTTTGATGAAGTACAAAAACTTCAATAAGAAATTGAGGTGTTCTTAAGGTGGCATCATTAAAAGTTTGCCTTAAGAAATCCCCATGGAAAAAAAAAAAAAAAAACCACACAACTCAACCAACTAACAATACTCTACTCGTTTGCCCTATCTGCTATTTTGTGGCCTTAGTTTGATCGTTTATCATCAATATAATTAGAGGACCAAGTAATGGGTTTGCTTAAATAATTAAAAGAAATAGACATGGCAATTAAAAGAAATAGTAATGGGCAGCCTAACAAACTTTCAAGGGTCTCTTGGAATGTTAGTTTGAGAGTAAAAGAAGCAAAGCAAGGTAGAGTCAACTTGGACTAGAAAACTATACAATATTATTTACAAAGTAAACATAGAAATTGAAACTTAGTAAAAATAAAAATAAAAAGCTAATCAAATAATAGAAGTTACAGCCACCTTCAAGTGTATTGAACATGTAAGGAATGTTTAAAAACCCACCTTAAATTTGCAACTTCCAACAAACTACCCAAACTGATAAATGTTCTATCTTAGATAAAAGAACAATTCAAAAAATAAACTGACAAATTATACTTAGAAAATAGCAAAACCACTTGTCAAACTAATTACATAACAAACTAAACACATGGACTCTGAAACTGATGATGGCAATTTGTAATGTCAATTCAATTCCCATTGCATAGTCAATGAGCTTTGCAATGGTTCACCTGTCTTTCTCATATGAGAGTTGCAGGAATTTTGTTTGATGAATTACATAAATGGTCAATACTAAGCCAGGCTCTAGGTATTTTACTAACTTGACGAACGTGAAAAAAACCCAATTATGTTTATAACTTATACTGAAAACAAACACCTATCAAAAACTAAAATTCCCAAAACTCAATTCTACATGAAAATACAAAAGCCACGAAATCAAATTATCAAATAAACCAAGCCACCGAATCAAATTAAACCATCAAGCAGGTTCCAAGATAATCAATCACAAATTTAGCAACATAGCACAACAAAAAGCTATAAAAAAAAATATTTAAAAAATTGATCTGGTGCTGATTACTAAAATTTGAAGATTTTCCTAGTATTGAGAGAAAGAATGTTTAACCTTAAATTTTAGTTGTGAAGAGAGAAGAAAAGCTTACCAGAAGAGAAGGTGTGGGGTGTGGTCAAAACCCTAACTTTTGGAGGAAAGGGAAATGTGCTTCGAACTGATAGATGAAATCACACAATTGTCAACTTAAACTTCTGTCTAAGTGTCTGGGCTTGAGAAATTGTGTGAGCTAGCTTGAGAATCGTCGAATGGAAGAATGATTCTCACTGTGAATCATAATGGCTGAGCATCTGAGAGTTTTAGCAAGAATGGGGCAGTGATGGAGAAGAGAGAAGAAAGAGAGAGTTTCAGAGGGACTAAAGGAGAGTTTTGTTCAAGAGATGAATTTTTAGGGTACAGTTTCAGAGTGAGTGAAAAAATTGAAAGGGAATTAGAAGAATTGGGGCTAGAGTTTAGAAGGGAACTGAAGTTTCAGAGAGAGTTTGCGAGGGAGAGTAAAAATTTTGGGTTAGGGCGTTGACTTAGACTTTAGGCATCAGAGGTATATTACCAAAAAAATGACCCTCTTAAAATAAAATAAAAACTTCCTCATCTAGTTCTTTGAAATAAGCCATGTTGGTCAAATCCTCTGCCATTCTAGTAAAAGCCTTCTTAAACTTCAAGGCTGCATCCAACATCATGTATGTTGAATTCCATCTTATGAGGACATCCATGCATACAAGGCCTTTGCATATCAGTTTCTCCTTCTCAACAAAGGTTTTAAAATAATCCAATCTATATGGAGATGACCTAACATACCTCACAGCATCCCTAATTGCGAAAACAGATTTTTACAGCTTCCTCAACCCACTAAACATAATTAAATTAGTGATGTGAGCACAACATCTCACATATAAGTACGTCCCACCCAAAACAGCTTGTGAATTGTTCCATTTATTCATCTTATATCTAACCCAATCAATTTTCACTTTATTTGTAGAGGCATTGTCCACAGTGATGGTTAAAACCTTCTTTATACCCCACTGTAACAAACAACTCTCAATGAGGTCTCCTATGGTGTTGCCTTTTTGATTAGGAATAACACAAAAGTTTAAAACCCTTTTGTGCATCTTCCAATCACAGTTTATAAAGTGAGCAGTAAGCACCATGTAATTGATGTTTTGGACACTTGTCCAAGTGTCAATCGTGAGGTTGATCCTATGTGCACTCAAATCCTTCTTCAGCTATTCCTTTTGTGCATCATACATTTTAAAAAACTGTCTCACTATTTTTCTCCTACTAGGCACTTCAAATATTGAGCACGCAACATTACCAAACCTCCTAAAACCTTTCTTTTCTACAAAAGAAAATAGCATCTCATCAATGACAGTCATTTCTTTCACATGCATCCATAACATCACTCTACACGAACCCCCTGGCAACCATTTTGTTACCCTAACCCTTATCACCAGCAATAATCTTTTGTGTTTTATCTTGGTTAGGTGGGTAGTATTTGCAGTATTTTCTAATGTGGCTTATCATTCATAAGTCCCATTTTTCCTACTTTCACATGCATTATCTCCTAGACCAAGTTTAGATTTAGTACAATATCGCATTTAGCTCTTTTATTCACAACTTCTACATCTATCATCTTCCGTGTGGCCTCATCCTTTCTTTTGACAATTTTCTTATGATCATAGGGTGTAAAATGATCCTAAAACCAACTTCTCTTATTACCTCTAGCTTTGATATCTAAGTTCAGTTCACTAACCATTTCTGTATCTGCACTCTTAACAGCTTGGGCTTACACTAGCTCTGGCACAGGAGCTTCAGAAGATTGGCCTTCTAGCTGCACATGGTGTGGCATTTAT